TTCGAATAGGAGAGGAGAAAGGATGCTCCCCTGGGGGACTCCTTCCTCCTGTTGGTGTGGGTCTGAAAGGGAGGATCCGACATGAATCTGGAAGGAACGGTTCTTCAGGAAGTTGCCAATGAAGGCAGGGAGGTGACCGCGTATGCCGAGTGCGTGCGGGTCTCGAAGAATGCCGTACCTCCAGGTTGTGTCGAAGGCTTTTTCTAGGTAAAAAAAGATGGCGATCAAGTGGCCTCTTTCAGCGAATGTCTGGCGTATAAAGGTCTCCAGGCGGACCAGGTGATCCAGAGTGGATCGAGTTTTCCTGAATCCGCACTGAAGACCGCTCAGCGAGCCCGTTGTTTCCAGAAACCATATGAGTCGCCTGTGAATCATTTTTTCAATTAGTTTGCAGAGACAGCTCGTTAGTGCTATTGGTCTGTAATTGGATGGGTGTGTGTGGTCCTCGTTTGGTTTGGGTATTGGAATGAGAGTGGCGAGACGCCAAGACTCCGGAAAGGAGTGCGAATGCCACATGTCGTTGTATATGTTTAGTAGGAGTGTAAGTGTTTCTGAGGGTAATGTCTAATGATCTGGTTGTGGATGTCATCCGAAACCCGGGGCTGTATTGCCCAGGTCCGAGATGCACGATGTTAGTTCGTCTGTTGTGAAGTCTGCGTTGTAAGTTTCAGTGTTGTTTGAGTGGAAGTTTAGGTGTTGTTGTTCTCTGTAAGTTTTGATGTTTTGAAAAGTGGTGTTGTAGTTAGCTTGGGATGAGTTTTTGGCGAGAGATGTAGCTATTGTGTTTGCGATGTCTACTTGGGTTTCAGCTGTGGTTCCATCCGGGCTCTGAACGTGCCGAATGGTGTCTGTGCGTCTACCTAAGAATTTTTCAGCAATTTTGAAAACTTGGTTGAGTGGTGTCTGGCTGTTGATTTTGGAGATGTATTTTTTGAATGATTGTCTTTTGGTCTCCCTGAGGCATCTACGTGCCACAGCTCGAGCCTTTAAATAACTTATCTTGTTTTCTATGGTGGTGTTGTTGACGGCTTTTCGATACGCTGCCTTCTTTTTCTTTACTGCATCCTCACATTCCCAAGAGAACCAGATCTTCTTCCTCCGAGGTTTTTTGTTTGTTTTTGATATGTGTTCGTGGCATATTTCTAAAACCTTTTCGTGGAATATAGTGTAGTTGAGGTCGAAATTGGGATTAAGAATCTGGGAACATTGATTGGCAAACCCGTCCCAGTCTGCTTTTTTTGAAGTTGAAGCGTTCTGGGATCGGGTCGTTTTGGAGGCTATCGTTGTTTAGAAGAATTGGGAAATGGTCCGTACGGTCATCCAGCACAGACCACTCAAGATCTGGGACTAGGTCAGGGGTATAAAAGGTGAGGTCAAGGGATGAAGTGCCATAAGTGGCTCTGTTTCTGTAAGTTGGGGATTTATCATTTAAGAGACAGATGTTATTTTGAAATAAAAAGTTTTCTATTATTTTTCCTTTCTGGTCTATAGGTTTGTCTCCCCAAAGGGGGCTGTGGGCATTGAAATCTCCCAGCAAAATAAAGGGTTTTGGAAGCTGAGCCTTTAAGTCATTTAGTTGGCTTATTTTGAGGGGGTAATTTGGTGGGATATAAACTGAGCAGATCGTGATTGGTCTGTGCAGGGTGAAACGTACGGCAATAGCCTGAAGGGTCGTCTTAAGATGTACTTGTCTGTGGAGTGTGTTGTTGTCGGTGTAGATGGTGGTACCACCGCAAGCAATCTGGTTCTCCGTGTGAATGTGATGGTACGCAGTAAATCCTTTTAAGTCTATGGTTGAAGCCGGGGCGAATTTTGTTTCTTGAATACAGGCCACCCGTGGGCACAGTGTGGCCTGTAAATGTTGCAATTCTGCAATGGAAGGTCGGATTCCGCCGGCATTCCATTGCAGGACCGCCATTATGATTTTTAAGTTTTTATTTTGGAGCTCAAAGGCCCCGGCTTCGAAGAGACACTCTGACTCCTCCTTGCGGAGGAGGCAGAGTGTTTTCTAGGAAGCCGTCCTGGATTGGACGGCGGTCTAGTGGGGGATTTGGAGGAGTGACAGACTCCGCTCTTCCCGGGGTCAGGCCGGGGAGGGGGGTCGGAGATGTCATCCTCCGTTGGTAGTGGGGGGAGTGGAGGGGTAGGGGGGAGGTGGAGCAGACAGAGGGAGCTGGGGAGAGGGGGGAGGGAGTACCTTAATCTCCATCAGAGAGATGGATTGTGAGGTAGAAGAAGAAGAAGAAGAAGAAGAAGAAGAAGAAGAAGAAGAAGAAGAGGAAGAAGAAGAGGAGGAGGAGGAGGAAGAGGAGGAGGAGGAGGAGGAAGAGGAGGAGGAGGAGGAGGAGGAGGAGGAGGAGGAGGAGGAGGAATAGAGGAGGAGAAATAGAGGAGGAGAAATAGAGGAGGAGAAATAGAGGAGGAGAAATAGAGGAGGAGAAATAGAGGAGGGGTAAGGGGGAGAAGGGGGGCGGGGCGGAGAAAGAGTCCACCCCATCCTCCCCAAGAACCCCAAAGCGGTTAGTCAGTGATACCAGAAAGGTAGGTACCACAGTTTTAGGAGGAACCTTTTTGTGTTTCGTAGTAAGTCGCTTGTTGACCGCGGGTTCTGGGGGTCGACAGTGGAAGCACTGGTCGACTTCGTGACTGGCCGCAGTACGCTTGCATATGACCGGCCAGAGACCGGGGTCATACCTGGCGGGCAGACAGCTTTTCGGGCTTCTTGAAAAGAACAGCCATTTCGTGCTTTATACTCCTGGACTGCGCATTCTTGGATCCAAGTCGGGCAATCCTTGCTGAAGGCTGTGTGCTGGCTTTGGCAATTTGGGCAGCAATGACTAGCCTTGCGTTCCTTTTCAGGATGCCCAGTCTTGCCGCAGCGAGGACACACGGCTGCACGTCGGCATCGCAACTGACTATGGCCAAACTTCTGATACTGAAAGCAGCGTAGAGGGTTTGGCACATAGGGTCGGACGTCCAAGACCAAGTATGATGCCCGAACGGTGGCTGGAGGGCGGCACGAATCAAAAGTTAGAATTATTGTGTTCGTTTCTAGTGTGGACTCCCCCCGCGGGCTTCGACCACACCCTCACAGTTATCCACAATTTCTTGGTTGGAGCAACCATTCAGCTCATGGCTGCGGACCACGCCCTTCGACTGGTTAAACTTCTGGTGTCGCTCGGAAACACAGGGAACACCACCGAAGGTCGTAATCTTTTCAAGTCCGACCAGTTCTTTATCCGATGTGCACTTGATGAGGAGAGCACCAGAGGACAGTTTCTGGACATTCGTAGGAATGTATCCCAGAACCTGTCTTAGAGCATCTCCTGTTTTGAATATGTTTAGATGAGTGATCTTTTTACTGCGCATCAGTGCTGCGGATGGTCAAGTACAGCTGCCGCGGAAGCTCCCTGAGAGGGGGGAGGGCAGAGGCAGACCTAAAGGTCCTTTTTCCTTTAGTAGTTTGTTTGCTCGGCTCGGCGGTCGCACCCGCTTCTGCGAGCCGAGACTTTTTGACGTTGGGAGCTGGGGAAGGGTCTTTTTGAGTTTTAGAATATATGAGAGTGTTTTATATGATTCAACTCCGGGGCTCCCCGCCCGCCACAGAGCTCAACAAGGGGACACATTGCTCGGATGACCAGTGCTGTGCCAGGGCTACCCCGGAGCTATACTCTCAACGAGAAAG